CCTGCCTGCCTGCTGCCACTTTGCCCTCTGTTTGCTGCTGCCACCACCACCACCATTTACCCCTTTTCTGCCCACTGCTACCGCTCCTTTGCACCCCCTGCCTGCCAGTCAGCCACACCAGCACTACGTGGTTCCTGGCTGCATTGCAGGACACAGCAGGAGTTGGCCTGGCCTCGCCCCTGTGGTCCTTGGCTGGCTCTGTGCAGTGCTGGCCAGGCCGGGCTGGCTCCTGCTGCATCCTGCGGTCCCAGCCATGCAGCTGGGAACTATGTGGTAATGGAGTGGTGGGTGTTGAGGGGTAGAGGGGGTGCGGATGGGAAGGTAGGGAGGCAGCAAGAGAAGGGCAGTAGTGGCAGACAGGAGGGGGAGGTGGCAGTGGGTGGGCAGGAGCATGGGGCCTGTGCTCGTGCCCCAGGGCCAGGAGCAGCAGGAGTGCAGAACCTGGGCTAGCCATGAGCACCTTAAGGCCTCATGCCATGGGCCATGAGCACCCTAAGGCCTCATGGCCTCCTGCTGCTGCTGGTGGCAGGGGGCTGTGGGCAATGAGGGAGGGTGTGTGTGTTCATAGGGCAAGTCCCACACCTCACCATACACATGTACCCACACCCCAGCCGTCCTCCCCCTCTACACATGCCACAACTATCCCCAGTCACCTTCCCCCACAAACCCCACACTCCCCCACATATCCACACACACCCATACCCCTCCATTTCCCCCCACCACCAATATACCAAAATAAGACTTAATTTTATACTATTATACAATCACCTCTATGTATAAAATGCAAACGCATGTAAACCAGGACAAAAATATTTTTTGAAATCAAATTAATGAATGTTGTAATAGATGTTTGATTTTTAGAATATAATTTGGTATTTTTCTAGTTTCAAGATGGCAAACTCCCTTGCTGAAAGGAGTACTTTTGGGGGCAAGGGGAGGGACTTCTGGTGGCAAAGTTCATTGGGGGTGGGACTTCCAGTCCCCAAATGGCAACTGGAGGCTACCCATGTGGCCCTCAACAGCTTGCCAAAACTCGGTAAGTGTCCCCCCAGCTGAAATAATTGTCCGTCCCTGCTTTAGGACAGTTATGCTTTACCTTAATGAGAACCAAAATTACGATTTTTGTGCTCTGAGTTGATAAAGTGCCACTTATTCTGCTAAATATTACATTGAAAATTTCAGATCACAGAAGTACCATATTTACTTCTATGCCACAAACCTTTTTCCCCAAAACCAGCCCTCCAAATTTGGGGTGCATATTTGAAGGTGGGAAGCTGATTTCTGCACTGTAATAGATGCTGCAGCTCTGTTTCTCTCTGTGGCTGCAGTGAGGGAGGACAAGAATGCACTCTGTAGTATTGAAGTCAGAAATCTTGTGGTAGAGGAGATTTTATCTTTTATTAGACCAAATAGATAGTTGAAAAAAAAATCTTTATTTGCAAGCTTTTGGGTTCACACGCCCTTTCTCAGGCAAAGGAAAATACAAAGATTTTAAATTTCTCCCAGGTAGAAATGAAACTTAATATTGAACAGGAGAACTGGAGGTTGGCATAAGTTCTCCTGGGTAGAAAGGTTCATTTTATGTAAATTAGGTTTGGATAAAAGTTGGAGCAGTCTATTTACCTCAGAGGTGTCTGATAGCAAGCAGGATGTTGAATTTTGCATCTTTCTTGTTAAGTTGTTTCATATTGTGCCAGAGGACTGGTGACAGAATGGTTCTCCTGGGTTAAAGAAGTTTAGTTATAGTGAAGTTGCTCTGCAAGTATGCAAATTTGGCTTGAACAAAAAACTTGAGCAGGGGTGTTTGCATCCAGGTCTCAGGTTGTTGGATTTTGCATTCTTTTTGTAAAATTATGAAGTTTTCATTTCAAAATGGCTAATTATGATATCTTCCATGTTTCAGGGATACAGATTGTAGCTGTGTTGGTCTAAAGGCAAAAGCAGTGGCCAACTGGCTGCTCAGTGGCCAGAATCCATTGCTAATCTGCCAACGTGGCAGTGGCTCCCAGGGCTAAAACTGTCTTTTTGCCAATAATCAGGATCACCTGCAGTCAGGATTCAGGAATGACTGGAAAAATATTTTTCCTTCATTCTGCATTCCAAAACAAGGTGTGCATCTTACTTGGGTTGTGTGGTAGGCAAGAAATATCACATTTATGTATAAATGTCATCCATGTTTTTTCAGAATAGCCTTTTAATAATAATTACGCTAGATTATAATTAATTTTCAAAGAAGAGATAAAGGCCTAGTTTTGCAAAGATTTAAGCATTTGCTTAATTTTTATATACAGATTTAATCTCACAGTGCAGGAATTTTAAAGTTTGTAAGACTTCATATAGTCTTGTAAGTACTGGAAGCAAAAGGAAAACACAATTGTGAGTCTTACTATCTTTCACACACTCTCCATTCTTATTTTGTACTTGGTACTTAATGTATCCTTTTGTTCTGCAGGTACCACTTAAATCTGAAACAAGAGGAAATAATGCAAGAGATAGAGGGCTATTTTTCATCATTTTCTAAGTGGGCAGAAGATTACATGTGCAAGCCTAGTCAAGATAACCAAAGTAAAATGCAGCTGAAACTGTAAGAAATTAGTACATGTAAATAAACTTTTTTGTTGGTTTGATCTGACAAATTGTTCACTAGTAAAATTACTTAAAATGTTGTCTCCATATAGCTTTAGTTTATTTTAATTTTAAAATCCAGAAACCTTCATCCTTGATTTGTACAAGATTGCACTTAGTGATACAAGACTCACTGAGGACCTCATTGGCTAGAATATGAGCCTTATTAGGTGAAGAACTGCTTAGTACATGCTGGGTGCATCTACACATCCAGTTAGCACACCTGAATAAACTCTGAAGCACTTGGTGCCAGAATATCTTGATCCCAGGTGCAATGTTTACATATGCCCCTGGGACTGCAGCATGACCCTGGCTGGCAGGAGGCCCAGAGGGGTCAGCCTGCCAGCCCAGAGATGCTGCACCCTGGTTCAACGTGTTACAGAGGGGCTGGGGCACAAGGGTGCTACAGTGCAGAGCTAGCTGGCAGGCTGGCTGCCCTGCACTATAGCACTCATGCCTCAGCCAGCCCCAGTCACCATCTACGCATGCATTGTGGCAGAGTAAATAACTCTGCTGTAGGATAGTAGTTGTGTTGGGCACTACTATCCTATGGTGGAGTTAATTCAATTTACTTGAGTCTAATAGTTCTGCATGTATAGACGGTGACACCTTACTGCCAAGTTGACTAATTAGCTCTCCGCTAAAGTCCACGTGTAGCTGCCTCCACTGAGTTGTGTGGTACCATTTTCACTGATTGAGAAGTAGGGTTATAGGTGATGGAAAATAGCTTTTATAGAACTTTTTGGTTTATATTCTTCTCTGGGATACCTTGAGATTCTTTCAAGGGTGTTGTGAGGTGCCACACAATGTTAGTACTGTTAGGTTTGCAAATATGATTCGGAGATTTCAAATAGGAATTCATAGTATTAAAAATGTTCTGACCTACGATGGTTTTTCTGAGTTCTGTACAACAGAAAAAATACTCTATTTTTCTGCAGTTAGAAAACAAGTGAAAAATAAGACCTGTCATTTTCTGAGGGATACCTAGAGTCTAAAAGAGGTTCTCAACAAAGTAACGAGTGTTCTGTTCAAATTTTTATATAGGAAGAACTAGAGTATTTGATCTACTGACTAAACTACAAAAATACTGTGCGTGTATACTAGTGTGTATTGATCTAGTTTTTGTACTTCTTTGTTGCAAGGTTTTTCTTCCTTGCTGAACACGTTTCCTTGCTCACTTTCATGTAATAGTTAGCTTTCTATTCCCTCCCATAGCAGAAAAACTGTGTACGTGTTTAACAGAGCAAACAAGCAGAACATGGTAATTGCAGGAATGTACCATGAAACTCTGAAGAACTCCAGCTCATGTAGGTGGAACTTGGAGAGGACCAGCAGGAAAATGAGGCAGCGCTCCACAACCAGCTTGGTTACAAAAAAAAATTTAAAGGAGTTGAGACAGATTTATGGGGGAGGGAAGCAGGGAGAAGAATAGGATAACAGAAAGAGGAGTTTCTGGCTCGCCAGGTAGGATATGGCTGGTTGTCACAGGGGGCTGGGAAGGAATTTTTTTCTCTACCTGTAGTTACAGATGTGAGGTGTTTGCTAATGTTTGTTTTTCCAGAGTTTTTTTTTTTAATCTTTCTCGGAAGCATTGGATATTGGCTGCAGCTGAGGTTGGGAATTTTAACTAGGGTGTACCGATGCTCCTGCTGGGATATAAACCTAGAAGATCTTGCTCTTCTGCTCAGAGTCCGACCAATTGGTGCCTTTGGGATCAGGAAGGAATTTTAACCCATGGTCAGATCAGCATGGCATGTTGAGGTCTTTGTTTTCCTGTCTAGCTGGGGGCATGGCCTTCTTCCTTGGATCTCTCAAATGTATTTTAACAAACAACTTCCTGTCCTTGAAGCAGCAGGACATTGATAGTGGCCTTGTCCCTTGCTTTACCTGTGGCAACCTAAGGTGCTCTTGGTGTTTTGGGGCATTGTGTCTGGTAGTTGTGCAACAGAATTGTTTGTGCAATTTTAAGACTATATTAGAAATATGTTTGTCTAGGATGGTTTTGATAGGGGTGATTCTGCCTTGAGCAGGGGATTGGATTAGATGATTTGTGAGGTCCCTACCAGCTCTGTTTTTCTGTAATGATGTGAAACTTTAAGGAAAGTAAATATTTTGGTGCTTAAAATATTCCTTTTAGAAATCTTTGTTAAAACATTGAGAATAGTAAGGCTGCTTAACTGAAACTTATGGAAGATGGATCCATCAGGGGCTCTTAAAATCAGTTAGGCATGTAATCTTAGGCTCAGGACATGGCTAAATTTGTTACTGTTGGTAAATGGGACATTGTTTGTCCCAGTTACATTGTGCCTTTTTTGCACTTTTAAAAAACAACCAGATCTGAATTTTCTAATCTCTAGGTGGAAGAACTTTCAGCATGCCAGCAGGCGTGTCTGCACGAGATGCCTGAATGTGTAGTGCACTGTTCTACTGCACATTAGTGTGTCATGGCAAAAACCATGCGAGTAGTAGAGCTAATCTACTACACGTTAAGCATCACCAAAAAAAAGTTTGCTTTTGCTGTTGCGCAGTAGCAAATGCACATTAATGAACACATAGATGCACCCAGTGTACAGTTAAATGCAGCCTTATGAGATGAGGAAGGGTAGCTGGAGTGGGTCTTAATATGTTAACCCTCTTAAACTAGTGGTCAGTTTCAGTTGCTTAAATATTTTTACCATTAATAAGAATTCCCTGGTTAGATCTATATTTTTGTCCCTCTGATATGTCCGTTAAGAGAAATGCAGTGTCTTACCTTTTTTAACATAGTTTTTCCAACTCTTCAAATGCTGATAAGCTCACTTTTTTATGTATTATGCTTTCCTTTTAGATCAAGTGATGGAAAAAAGGATTTATCTTGTAATATTGAAATTACACAGGTCCTGGATATTGAAGAGAATATCTGGTCTCCAAGGTTTGGGCTAAAGGGCAAGCTTGATGTTACTATTGGTGTGAAAATGCATCATAGGTCTGGAACTCAGTATAAGATAATGCCTTTGGAACTTAAAACTGGCAAGGAATCCAACTCTATAGAGCATAGAAGTCAGGTATAAATATTAAATGTTTTTTATATGGATTATAGTATTCTATTTTTTTCCTCTTGATCTGATAATCCTGTTGTGCATAAACATGTTCCACAAACATTTAATATTATGGGTGATGTATGATAAACTCAAGGCTGTTCTTATGAAATGAACTAAGGAGTGGGATACTGCTTACAAATGCCACTTCAGTGCAAAAGTCCATGTTTCCATGAGAAGAAAGGAGGTAACCTCTATAAGAAACTGTGTTTGTTCCTCCTTCTTTGAATTATTTGGGCAGTGGGTCATAGGGGAACTTCTTACAGAAGAGAATGTGAAGCTTACCAGGTTATCCACATACCCCTGAGTAGATCCAAGTGGGGGCAGGAATATAGTGTGGAGACTTTTGGCACCCAGAGCCTTTGTGAGAGGCTCTTCAGAAGAGATGATGCAACTTGGAAGTCCTGCATCTTGTAAGGGATTTCTGCAGGACTGGAGTAGGTGTGAAGTGTACAGTCATTCCTACCTGTTTCACATGTATACCTGGTATGGGAGAGAAGCCTCTGGGCTAGAAGAGGGGAAAGAAAGTGTGGCAGAGATAACTGAATATGCATATTTACTTTTTAAACAAATAAATAAATGGTTATTACATTTGCATTTGAAGAGACTTCATATTAAGGAAGATGCTTCAAAATTAAAAGGTATCAGTGGATGCATCTACACATGAAATTAATGTGATGCAATAAACTCCAGAGCAGTTCAAGCTGGAGCCAACTGCTCCCAGGTGCAGTGTCTACAAGCGTGCTCAGGACTGCAGCAATTTGAGCTGGGGTGGAGCAGCCCCAGGTTGGCAAGGGGCCCAGATGATTGACTCCAGGTGGTGGCAAATGGGCTGGCAGGAGCCAGGGGTCAGTCTGAACTGACGATGCAATTTGTGCCTGGCATTTCCAATCCATGCATGCATTTAATTACACTTAATGACTTTGCTGTAAAATAATACTGTCCCCAGCAGTACTGTCTTACAGCGGAGCTAATTTACTGTGCTGTAATACCAGCATACGTGTAGACTGTGACACTATTACAGAGCTAATTAGTCTACTCCACAGTAAAATGCACATGTAGATGCACCCAGTTATATGTATTTACTTTTAGATCTTGCTAGCAATAGTAAGGCTGCTTAACTGAAACTTTTATGTAGCATGGGTCCACCAGGGGCTCTTCAAATCAGTTAGGCATGTAACCTTAGGCTCAGGACATGGCTAAATTTGTTACTGTTGGTAACTGGGAGGTTATGACAGAATGGATCACTTTTATGTATATCCTGTTTCTTAAATTTCTCCAAAACAGCTGTCTCAGAGACAGGGTACTGGGCTAGATGGACCTTTGGCATGGACCGTTATGGCAGTTCTAATGCATGTCCTTATCACCGTATTCCCGTAACTGGTGTGTTCTACATATAAAATACACTTGAATATATTGTACAAATATGTTTTCAGGTTATATTATATACACTTCTGAGCCAGGAACGAAGGATGGATCCTGAGGCTGGATTTCTTCTGTACCTTAAAACTGGTAATATGCACACTGTGCCTGGCAATCGTTTGGACAGGAGAGGTAAATGTTCCAGGAACATTATATGTCATTTACTCTTATGTTTACTATGAATTTTTTCTTTAATGCTATCACTTATGAATATACTGTTCATTCTTAAAAATGTATTGGCTGAGAGAGTAATTTTTGGAATTTTAATTGATTCTTGAGATGAAGCACTCTGATTAAAATGAGTAAAACCTGCTTTTTAGAATAATCTTGAATTAAAAGAAAAGGCATTTTTGGTCTCTGAATTTATATGATGAACGTTGTCCTGGGTCACTTGCCACATATGTGCCCTTACATAATCAAAGCAATTAATAGGTGTTAATAACATCTTATGTGTTGTTTCTAATAATCTCAGAACCCCACTACCTCAGCACTTCCTCTTTCTTTGCTTTACAGAACTAATAAAGTTAAGAAACCAACTGGCCTCCTATTTAGTCCATAATGTGTGTAAATCTGCAATGGGAAATAAGCGGACACAGCTTGCATCCTTGCCTCCTGTAATTAATGACAGTCAAGCCTGTAAATACTGTTCACAAATGCACAACTGTGTTCTTTATAGCAGGTAACACAAAACCTAAAATAGTTGATGGGTAGTAAATTACTTTTAGTAGATGCATTCTATATTTTTATTGGTTGATACAGTGGTGAGATCACAATACTGATAGACTGTATGTGTATTTGTATGAAATAATATTCTCCGCCCAAGTGCTGAATGTGTGAAAGGTGCAAGAAGAAATTATCAGTAAATCTAGTGGCCATAATTTTCAAAATTGCATGTTCAGATCTTCTGGTGGGGACGTATGCTCCCATACACCTATACAGCAGTTTCTAAATTCAAAATTACTTTGTTCTTGTAGTATTTCCCTTCTTATTCAGATTAGTAGCATTATCAATTTGATAGGACCCATAAACTTACTTGGTGATTCTAGATTATTTACTTCTAAAACTGTCGATTTCCACCCCCTGCCCTAATAGGGTGCTATTATAAAGAGTCCCTGGGTGTTGCTTCTCACACTTCTTTCGGTGCAAGCCCAATTATATTTCATATATAAATAAATATGAAGATTCTCATCTTTTTAGGAGCAAAAATATGCATTACATTAAAAAGGTATATAAAGGCATTTTAATAGTGGATCCTTTACCAAAAAAAAACTTGGTTAAGCTGTTGAGAACATTTTTATTTCTTATATAATGCTGTGTTTGAATTATAGTTCAGGAAATCACTGTGCCTTGTATGTCTATACTCATTCTGTCATTACAGAGAGACTCACTAATTTGAGACTATTCATGTGAATAAGGGGTATGGGTTCTATGCATAGACTTACTTGCCCACATACAAAAAGGTAGATTTAGAGTATGAGATTCTTACCCTAGATTTTACTTTGTTAAACAGTAATCTTATTTTATCATTTGGATTTTTTGTCTTGTATATGTTTCATTAACTTTATTAAGCATAGCTAGACATGAAAGAGGAAAAAGCCAAAAACTGACTTTTACTACATTTATAATATTTTAGAGCTGTAGAGCAACAGATGGATGATGTCATAATTCCTTCTGCTATGATACCCGTTATAGACAGAGAGACCCAGCATCTGAAACTCTCTCATTTGCAGTATTTCAATCTGTGGTATCTAATGTTAACCTTGGAGTTGCAAGCTGGAGAGGGTAAAAAAGGATATACAAATATATGGATGATGCCTGCTTCAGAAAGGTAAGATGGAATGTTAATATGGCTCCATTGTAGGGGCCATATAATCATTGTATATAGCAGATACTTTTCTAACAGGGAACGAGGGAATTATTTGAAGATGGCTGTTCCCTGCTTGGTTTCCCAGACCTTGTTTTCCCTGCAAGAGATTAGATCATTCTTCTAATGTTCGGAAAAAGACTGTCATGCATGGTTGCCCAAGATGCGTCAATTACACTCTGGGCGAGGACTACCACAGGCATTGAGCCAGTACAGTTGTTAGTTTGTTACCAACAGTATGTTACTATAAATTTAAAGCCACAAAAAAACCATGATAATGCTTTCTATAAACTGTGCTTTGCTGTCTCATTTTTATAGGTTTGAATGTGTTGTTTTCTTTCTTGGCCCCATCTCTGTGATATATATGAGACTGGATAATGCCTTCCACCTCCATTAATTACACTGTCTCCTTGGAGCAGGGTTATCTGGCACTGTTGAGCTCTGGATCATATTGTGTGCTGTGGCTCTGCAAAAGGTGGCTAAAAGTGGACTGAGATGTCATCCCATTAGAATCAGCACAGTAGTTCTTTTTGGGTTTCTCCTAGCAACTGTAGAAGACATCATTGGTTAAAAGCAATTGGACTCTTTATGAAACATGTATAATATTTGCTTGTTACTACTCGGGGACCACAGGCAAATATCAGCACCTGGTTTACTAAAAACATAAGGCTCTATTTCGCTACTTTGAATGGTTTTGAGCTTCAGAACATAAAGGAGAACTAAAGGTCTTGTTTTGTGATGGTCCTTGAAAAATGGTCTATATGGTGTGATCCTTTGTCTGGGAGTCTAACATTAAAGCTTTTTAATAAATATAAAACAAATTATGATTGCTTATAGTTTCTCACAATTTAATTTTGGCGGGAGAATAATTGAAATGGCAGCATAAAATTTGTTTAATACAAATATTTCAAAGTTGAAAAGTTCATGATTGTTGTATTGTTATTTAAATAATACAGTAGGAATTTTATTGTGAAATTCTGCATCAAGCCCATAATTTCTGGTTGAGCTAAAGAGTGTATTTTAAGAAGATAGTCATTTTTTAATTGAACAAAACCTTATAATGTAAGTAGTTCATTTTCCTGTGGAAAGAAGTCAAGTCAGCATGTTCACATAGGAGATTAAAACTGATAAATGTTTCAGAGTTTTGTCCTTTTTTTCCTTTTTTTTTTTTTAAAAGAAAATCAGTGCTGCTTATGCTTTATTATTTTTGTTCTTGCTCTCTTTTCATAGAGAGAAGTCTGGAGATTGCATTGGAAACATGATCAGAATGGAACAGGTACAGGAAGTGTCTGATGGGCAATATCTTCATTATTTCCAGTGTAAAGGTGGTGCCTTGCCAGGAACAAACCTGTTGGTAGGTGACAGAGTTGTTGTGAGTGGAGAGGAGAAGACTTTACTTGGCTTGGCTGCTGGTTATGTTAAAGAAGTCAACATGACAAAAATCTCTTGTTTATTGGACAGGTAATCTAAAAGGAGGAAGAAAAGTGTGGCAATTTGAAAGAAAGTTTTAACTTTAGCATTAAAAAGCTTATTGTGATGTCTAAAACTTTAAGAGCTCTGTTTTTGGTGCAGTCTTTCTGCCTGCCAACAAACCGTCCCCCCCACTAGCTTATGAGTGAATGATAAAATAAGATTAAGCCTGAAACTTCCTGGTTTTCTGCTTTTTAATTTTTGTATGTGGTTGATTTACAGCTGTTTCTAAGCTGTTGGTCAATAAGTAAAACTGGTGATGTCAGTGGAGTTCTGAAGAATGTTTTGTTGCACTGATGTCAAGTTCTTATAGATTGTGTAGGCACCAGGGTCATCCTACTTCTCTCTTGTATGATGTCAACAGTCAAATACTTTTTTAAACCGGGCTTCATTGATCCTATTTTGCTGAGATTAATTTTTAAGGGTAGGAAGCTCTTGGTTCACATGGTCTATGAACTTAAGCCAGTGAACTGTCAGTGCACTTATCAAGCTTTTATGAGCAACAAGCAGATAAACATAGAAATAAATGCAAATTATAGTTCTTTTTATTATCCCAATAATGTCTTTCAGGAACCTTTCAAAACTCCCTAAAAACACAATATTTAGGTTAGATCACGAAGAAGGTGGTTTTGGTATAGATGTCCCTCTAGGAAATCTCTCTAAACTGATGGAAAACTCTTCTGCCAGGTTAGTAGAATTGAATTACCTCCAGATCTCTAGTGATTATGTAAATACTCCCACTTACAGCAATTTTGACAATTATTTTTTTTCCTCTATAGTGAAAAACTTCGCAGTTTAATAATAGACTTCCACAAACCCCAGTTTATCCAGCACTTGAGCTCCATTCTTCCTCCTGAGGCAAAGGAAACTGTTGCAAATATTTTAAAGGGTATAAACTATATTTAATTTACATTGCAGTATGGTCTTTTCCTTGGTGATGAGACTTCTTATATACATTGTTTGATATATATTTTTAAATATATCCTTCTTGTCAAAGCATCTATATCAATAAAATGTAAATCTTTTCACTTGACTCAACAATACAATCTTCTGCTCAAAAGATGGAAGATTCCAATTTGCCCTTATTCCTACACCTAAATTTATAGGCCAGAAAAAAAGCCTTGAAAAATATATATTTTTGTGCCTTCTAAGCTTTGATTTCTTCCTGCAGGTTGCTGGAGGTAGAGGCTCTAGATACAAACCTTTTTCTAAGAATGTTTTGCTACCACAATCCCCTGAGTTTTTTTTAACTGTGAGATTAGACAACCAGAGGAACTCAGTGAATTTAACTCCTGCAGTGGGACATAAATGGTTCATCTGCTAAATGATTGATTGGGTTCCAGCCATCTAAAACAGATGCTGGAAGGAGGTGATATAAAGCCATTGCCAAACACAGTGTGTTCTGTATTTGTAGTGGCCAACCGCACGATTAGTCATGTTTAGGTGCTTATGCAAGGTAGCTCCAGATTTTAGGACTTTTGAAATAAGCTAGCTTTGCTTTAGTTTCAAAGACCATTGTATTGAGATCTGTACCAGATAAGAACTTTCCCAGCCTCTGGGCCAGTTGCAAAAGGAATATGGGATGGGAGGTAGAAGCACTGTGTATAATAGAAAATTCAGGGGAAGTAATGGGTCAAGAATGACTAGGATCGCAGAACAGTGGCAAATGTTGAAGATGTTGCTTTCCAATAGAAAGTGCATTTGCAAACTACCCATTTGTTTAAATGTTTCATTCTGGCAATCTGTATTAATTGATTTAGTAGCTAGAATCTCTTCTTCATCTTCAGGCAGTAGAAAAGCTCAGTCTGTACTACCTGTAAGTAATACAGACCAGAGCATCTTGGTATACAATCTCCCTTGGCAGCCATGCATACATGCTGAACAGATGTGACAAAATGGAAACATATTTGGCATCTCTTGAAGAAGAGCATTGCTAAGAAATAATAATTAAAAACCACAGAAAGGCCCTCTAAAACACTAATATGATCAAAAATGTTTTTCCCTGAGACAGGATAGAGAGCAATACTTGTTGCCTACTCAGTTTTAAAGAACCTTCAGATGTGTTATAGTGTTTGAAGTAGTTTTATAAAAAAAAAAAAATCTTGCAGAATTACTTTGCGTAGTCTTTGTGTTTAAGCGTTTGGTAGCTAGGAAAAGAAACTTTAGCAGCTTAGGTAAAATTAATTGCAAATGTTTTACTTCCCTTTTCTGATTAAGGTCTGAATAAGCCTCAGAAACAGGCGATGAAACAAGTCTTACTTTCAAAAGATTACACTCTCATTGTGGGCATGCCTGGAACAGGAAAAACTACTACAATATGTGCTCTAGTAAGATCATAATATGGCTTAAAATTAACAGTTTATTTTTAACACATGGGGTGGGATAAGTATGACTTGGTTTATATAAAGTGCCATTTTCTTTTTGTGACCTGTACAGAACTGTTGTCTGCACCAT